TGATCTTAAGGTCCTTTCCAACCCAAATCATTCTATGATTCTATGAATCAAGGATGGAGAAGCCCTGCAGGAAATGGCACCAAGGACACCCAAGGCCCTTCATACAGGAGTGAAACAGGGATGCTGCATGACCCCATGGTGTCTGTTTAAAATCTGCTCTACAGTCGTCAGTAATTCTACTTAAATACACCCAACAGATGAAAATAAACCCCACAAAAAGCTGGTTTGTTTGGTTTTTTTTATACAAAACTCATGAAAATCCTTCGGTGTACGAGGGGAATTCAGACATCTATCTATTGATCATAATAAAAAGTGATTAGAATAAAAAAAGATGCTGAAAAACTTGCTGTCCTACAGAGGACTGTAAAAATGGGAGCAAAAGTGCCCCAAGCCATGATGCTCACCCTGGGATGGAGGATGCTGCTGGCCGAATGGAGCCAGATTTTATCCCACCAAACCCAGGCCCGGCATTGAGGCACAGTATCCAGGTTTGGCAGTGCCACCCGAGCGAGGAGATAAAGCTAATAAGATATAACAAGCAAAGCAATCTTTTTAGCTCTGTTATTAACATGATATGTCTCCTCCCTGTTTAAAAAGTAGCCATAGGACTAAGCGAGGTCCCTGGCCCTGGTTTCAATTACACAGAGATGGAATCAGACCAGGCTGCTGTGCTTGTTAAAACAAGGGGGGCCCTCTCTGTGCATCGTAAAATTGGATTCCAAAATTTCATGTAAAGAGCCTTGTCTTTGCGTAATGGGTTGGGCTGCCATCGATCACCGTGACACTTACAAGTCACAGCTGAAAAAGTACTTTATTAAGGGGGTTTTATATATATTTTCTTTAACAATTTTGATTTATTCTGGCTGTGCTGCCTGTATAATAGACCGAGCAGAATCTCACACCAATCCCCTACGCTCAATAAAGCAACTACAGATATATTACAGAAATCCCTCACTGTTTCTAAGTTATGGCCAAATGGTGTCTCAGGGACTGCTCCCAATCATCTGTGTCTTTTAAACTCGAATCAAGCATTGGGGCTTATAACGACCTTTGTCTCATCGGCTCTCGCCTGGTGCTGTTTAGAGTTGTTGGCCCATTTTCAGCGTGGCTCTGATCAATAGCTGTGATGACAAAGATATGATGAGCTGCGTGATTCCCTTCGGTTACTGCTGCTTAATGATTTTTCCAAGTCCCAATCTTCAGTTGAAAGGAAAGAAAAAAAAAAATTAAATCAAATCAAGAGCTCAGAGGAAACAAACATTGAGGCATTTCTTGTGCCAAATCAGTCTTGCTCCTTTCCTCTCAGGCTGTCTACACAGGACAGTTGTTAGCTGCAGAGCCCTCGTGGCACTGGCTCATGTCTGGATGCCACAGCAAGTTGGTCCCATCACTGTCATTCCTTTAAATGGAAGATGCTTTGGTACCAGCAGCAGCTAATGAGGACTTGATGTGTTGGTCCTTGTCTATCACTCATACTGGGAGCTTTAGACCCTGCTCCAGACTGTTGGACTTTCTTCTCCAAGCTGTGAGACCTGGCCACTATCTTCCCATCACTCTTTGGACTGGAGACAAATCCATGAGTTCAAAGTAATTTAAGCTACACCTTTGCATCTTGAAGGGAAACTCATTTTGGTGGAGGGGTGATTCCTGCTCTTGGGGGTCCAGAAAATAGTGAACTTCTCAAAGTCAAGCCATAAAAGCACATGAGACCACATTGATGTTATCCCTTGGAGGCGGTCTGGCATGCAACTGGCCTTGGAAAGAGCATCTAGAGCAATGAGACATGGGGTTAGTGCTATGGGATTTGCACCCAGGATCTCCCAATCTTCAGAAGCAAGGATCTGCTACCCCCTGCCTACAAGCAAAGGAAGAAGGGTTGGTCAAGCCATGGCCTGGCTTGTGGATAGCAGAGTGTGGTCCCTCATGGGTCTTTGTGTTCACAGCCCATTCCTGCAACTTCCACAAGAATGCACTTGAGATCCTGTAGAAAAACCATTTCTCACTAATGAAGGGGTAAATTTAGGACTGTTTCTTCTTTTGACATCAAGTAGGAAAGCTTTCACAGAGGCTGAGGATTCAGGAACGTCGTAGCTGTCTCTGGACAGCTTTGTCCCCAGCACTAGACAGTCGTGCCTTTTAACGTTTTGGGTTTTGATAAAGAAAGAAGCAACACATACATATATATATATACTTCTACATATATATTTTTCCCCCCTTTTTGACATAATGTCCGTAATTCCTGCACAGGGTGCAGGTCCATGAGAAGACCCCCATGGATCTGTCAGGCAGATGGGCGCAGTCACATCCCACTGCTGTTTGAGGATGCTGACAAACACATCCCAAGCTGCCTTCACCATGGTGCAGAGCAGGATGGCTCCCAGATCTAGGAATGCCATACATGTGCAGTGGGACCAAAAGACTCTTGAAAACTGGGTGAACTCCCCAAAGTCATTATCTCATGTAATAACCTGAAGAGTCTGTGTAAGGCTGTAGAGGTGCCATCTCAGGCTGGCAGGGTTCCAGTAGGAATATTTCACACTCAATTCCCTTTCCTTGGCTGCGTGGAAAGGTGGCCTGTTTACTCTTGCACTACTCCTCTTAGCATTGTAACACACGGATGGGGAGGGATACAGAAGCACCACTTCGGAGCCACTTGGAGCATAAATGGGATGCACGTTGATCTCTCTCTGCACTGCAGGTCTTCACCAGGAGTTTATACCAGCTTCCCACGGTGTTTTTTGCTCCATGGATGCTGTTTTAGACACTCAAAGCCATCACGAGGTTGAAGTTCTGGGAGGGATTTGCCTCTGGTGTGACTCGGGGAGGGAGAAGCAGGAAGATGGGTAGCCCTGGGAAGAGGGTGCTGCCTCCTTCAAGTAGGTGGCAACTGCTGGTTTGGCTAACACTGCCCCTAATCCCCGCCAGTGCATCCTCAGGGCAAACAAGGCTTGCCAAGACCTTGATACCAGCACGGCAGGAGATAAGGCCATGGCTTTTTAACCATCCCTGGCAGGCAGCTGCCTGAAGCTTCCTTTCCAAAGCCTAGAGCTGTCCCAGCCAATGCATCTCCTCCCAGCTGGCTCTACCAGAGCCGGATACCCTTTCCAGCTGCCTGCAATTCACTCCTGCCAAAGTGATAAAGGTTTCCTGCTGCAAGGGGTGGTTCAGAGTACAGGCACACAGCACCAGCATCAAAGCAGGAGGGACCACCAGAAAATCAGGACCATACGGATGGGCAGGGGATAGGGAATTGGAGGAAGAACAGTCTGTTGAAGGAATTTCCATCCCATCACCTTCCTTCTGGCAAGCACCCGGGACCAGACAGGCAAGGCAGCCAGAGCTGGCAGCCGGCATCTACGGGGAACCCATGATAGCATGGGGCTGCCAATGTTTTGCTGCTTGAGGACTGCATGTCCAATGTACCCCCCTGCCTTATCTTGGGGGCTAGAGCCTGCAGAGCTGTGTTGGAGGGTGCCAGTGGTGGTGGCACAAGCATAGAGGGGGACACGGGTGCATTGTAGGGATCCGAGTAAGGAAGTAGCCTTGGCATGGATTTGCACGTGTCCGGTTATCAACTCTGCAGAACCAGGAAGCCAAAACCAAAGTGGATGGAATGAAGAAAACAACAAATCAGGACTGAGATGTTCCCAGAGAGACACGGCGCGAGCTCCTAGAGCCAGGATACGTGCAGGAGGCAGTGTGATAGAGATGCCTGTTTGGGACCAGGGTTGGCCATCTCCAGCCGGAGCCCCAGCGAGATGCAGGGTGACACCTCTGCCTGCAGGAACGGCCCTTGCTACCACAGGACTGGTTCAGGCAGGGAAGAGGATGCTAAACTCATCTCCTTGTTCCCTTGAATTTCAAGGACTCTTGCAAATACCAGAGCATGGAAGTTTTGTGAACACAAATCACATGAGCACACTGAGAAACTCTGTCAGCAGTTTCATGCTAAAGCACTGGGTCCCCTCTGCAGTGGGCATTTCCATTCAACCTCCCCCTCTCTTCACTGCTAACAGTCAACTGGGCTCTCTGTTTAACTCGAGCTCGTGTAAGAAACAGCGAGAGGGTTGATTCCAGCATTCTCCTTCTTGTCCCACCACGCACAAGCTGTTGCTACTTATTAAACATCTTAAAATCCCTGCTGCCAAAGCCCCCAGGAGACATTTCTCTGCCATAGTCATAAACGACTTTGCCAGCATGCTACTCAAAACTGCATTTCCCAGCCAATAAATACAAGCTCCAGAATGAGGAAAAGCAGGGTTTGGCTCGCTCTAATTTTCAGTGGTATGTCACTGGGATACTCTAACTACTTTTAAATTCAAATCAGCTTCCTAAAAATTAACTGCTTTTATCAGATACAGCACAGTGGACTGTTAAACACGTAGCCTCATGTACTGAAACACTATACATTTAATGAAGTTATGCCATTAGCAAATGTACAACATGGGTGCATTAAATCCACCTATAGAACAGCTCTATGTATGAGAGAGAGGATTGATTTTAGCTTTTCTCAATAGAGCAGGAGTCCCTTTCTTGGCTTTTGCTAGGTTTTTTTAACTAAACCCAGGATTTGCGCACAAAAAAACCCCCAAAAAGTATCTACTCTCATAACGAAAAAAAGACTGATTTTTTTTCCTTTCTTTATTCCAGTTCAGGAAGGAAGAGGATAATCTTGCAAGTTAATATAATCAGCTCCTTTGCCTCTAGAATCTACTTCTGCTCAGCAGGAGCCCCCCCAAAAAAACCCACTTTATGTCCCAAGTGAAACGTGAAAACTACTTTGTAAGGTCTCTTTTGAGGCACATGATTCGGACGGTCGTTTTCGGAGTATCGGAGTCAGCGTTGTCTTCCGTCTCCTTTCTTTCCAGGCAGAGCTCTCCAGCACGCCGCGGGCTCCCCGTGTTTCGGGTGGAAGGCTGTCTGCCCCTGCCCCAACTCAGAAAGGGTTAGGATGACACAAGTTAGCACAGACACCCATTTCGCACTTCACACCTAAAGGACGGACGTTGAGGACTCCCCACTTCAAATTCCTCACATGGCGGGGGGAAACTAAAAAACCCAACAAAAATAAGGACAAGAGACAGTAAATTTCACTGTGACCACACTACGGCAAAATATACCTTCTGTTCATTGCAAAGAAACGTGTGAAGGCCAAATTAAAGAGAGGGGAAAAAAAGGGTATGTTGCATGAGTTACAGTGCAACCGTGTTATTCCTTCTCTTCCTATTCTCCTTCCCCCCCTCCCGCCTTGTTCAGTTTAGAAAAAGGATTGAGTACAACACAGTCAGGTTAAGTGGCCACAAAAGAGTAGCTGTCTTTGGCAAGAAGTCACCGCATCGCCCCTCTCTGTCACCTTCTGCCCATTTCGCTCTGTCTCATGAAGTGGATGTTGTTGGCGCTGTCTGAGAGTTCAGGGTACTGCTCCACTGAGATCACAAAATAGCCATCGTAGCCCTGTACCCGGCCCGTGTTTAGCACTTGTTGCTTCTCCCCTTCTGTCCATGAGCGAACACCCTCCTCCCCATCCCGCAATCTCTGCTGTTCCCGGGACCAAGCTTGGGCGACAGCGCGCTGTCGGGCCAGCTCCAGGACGCGGGTCTTCTCCTCGTCCAAGGTGGTCCCGTAGCGAGTGTTTAGACACAGCGCGCCGTACTGGAGCTGGATGTCCGTGTAACGTCTAGTCCTTCCACTTAGCACTGTGTTGATCTGGGACACCGTCACGTTCACGCCGTTCTCCAGGGTCCTCCGCCCGCCGCTGAGGCCCAAGATGGACAGGTCACCCTCCGATGGCCCTTGCTTAATGAAATAGTGTGTGTCCACCCCGTCGATGGTGAAGTGTAAGTTCTCCAGGTAATGGGCGTTGTTCAGGATGGCCGCGATCCTCCGCCCATCCTCGTTGGCCACACTGATGATGTCGGTGGCCACGCGCCCGTCCTTCATGGCGAACTTGACTCCTTTGCCGAAGATAGAGCCTCCAGAGGCAAAGTTCTTGTTCTTCTTGACCTGCCGGCACCCGGCGATGCTGGAGCTGTAGATCTGCTCGAAGCGCTCAAGAGTGACAAAGGCCTTCAGCTGCTTCTGCACTTCACACTGGACCCCCAAAATTGACTGAGCAGGGACAGAAAGAAGAGAAAGATGTGTTAGAAACAGAAGCCTGACATGTCTAATAATGACTCAAAGGCATTATTAGCATGCTGAAGACCAGCAGAACATCTTGGTAACATCTAATGAGAAGCTCAGTTTTTTTCCTTTATCACAGTTTTTCAGGTGTTTAATTCTTTTTAATTGAAGAGACATTTCATCAGGGACTTTTCATCAGGGACTGCAGTGATAGGACAAGGGGGTTTAAACTTAAACAGAGGAAGTTCAGGTTAGATATCAGGAAGAAGTTCTTCCCTTTGAGGGTGCTGAGGCACTGGAACAGGTTGTCCAGGGAAGTGGTAAATGCTCCACCCCTGGCAGTGTTCAAGGTTGGACAGAGCCTTGGGCAACATGGTCTACTGTGAGGTGTCCCTGCCTGTGGCAGGAAGGTTGGAACTAGATGATCTTAAGGTCCTTTCCAACCCAAACCATTCTATGATTCTATGATTATTGCCCCTAAAACTCATTGTTTCAATAAACTGAACTGTATTTAATCTCACAGTCCGAAGGATGTAGAGGTGGAAAAGGATTTTTGCCTCAGTGGTATGAGGGTTACCATTTGAACATGCAGTTATGTTGTGCTTCAGTGTTCTTCACCTGCGTATAAGAAATCATTCCTCCTGTGGCCATGGTGCTTTATAACAGACTTTCAGGTTTTCTGTGAAAAAGTCTGTAAGTATTTGTAAAGTTTCTCTCTATTTTCACTTCACTTTGTAACTCCTTGTGCTACCTTCCAAAGCCCTGCATCACAGGTGTGACCCTCAGAGTCACCATAAACCTTCTAGATCCTGTTTCGACCTGGCCAAAGTAGGTGGTTCAAAACGCAAGGAAGGCCCTAAATCCAAGCCTTTTTTCCTGCAAACAATGCACCAGGGTGCCTGAGCTAAGTCTAGCCATACCTGATGCTTGAGTTTTGACTTACTGACACTGAAGCAAAACTGCTGAGAGACAACAGCGTGGATCATTTGCAGTCAGGTACAATACAAAGTCACTTTTGCTGTTAGTGTATAATGGAGCCAGCACACAGCCAGTCAGCAGCTCATCATTACTGCAGAATGTCTTTGGAAATGCTCTCATCAATTCATGGCAGCACAAGCTTCTTACAGACCCCTCTCCATGAACAATCATTTGCTCAAATTCCACAAAAGCAAGAGGATGCTATGACAAAACTCTGCTGGCGCTGCCAATGGCTCAGTTTCATAATGGAATCATACCTGGGATTAAAAACAGGCTAAAAATAGAAGTTTGCTGCACTCCCAATTATTTTGAGGAAATTTAAGATGCCTTAAACCATCCACAAGCTAAAGACTCAGATGAGAAGATTGCACCAGGGCAGGTTTAGCTGGAGCTGAGGAACAATTCCTTGCCCAGAGGGTGCTCAGGCATTGGAACAGGCTGCCCAGGGCAGGGCTGGAGTCACCGTCCCTGCAAGTGTCCACAGCCCGTGGAGCCGAGGCCTCAGTGCCAGGGGTTAGTGGTGGCCTTGGCTTAATGGTAGTCCTGAGATAACAGTTAGACTTGACCATCTTAAAGGTCTTTTCCAACCTGGTTAATTCTGTGATTCTATGACTCTAAGACAATTCAGATGATGCAAGCATTTCAGCATGGTCCTCTCAACTACGACTTGTAGCATGGCAAGTGAAAGGAAATAAACCCTCATTTCCACAGTGGCCATTTCCAGGGAAAGGTCTCAAAGCATTAAATAAATAGAGGATTTAGCACTGCAACTCACTCAGAGGTTTGCCATTGGGTTTGCTATGGATTCAGGGTGGATGGCAGCCTGGTTGGTACATGCTTTGACACTACAGGTATCACTGCCAGCAGCTGTGCCATGATCTACCTTCCTTAAGCTCCATAACTGGGACCTTCTGGCCAGAGATAATTTTCAATTTTCCATGTTATGGTCAATATTCTTTTCTTTTATTTTCTTTTCTTTTTTTTTGTTTTCTTTTCTTTCTCTTTTCTTTTCTTTTCTCTTTTCTTTTCTTTTCTTTCCTTTTCCCTTTCCTTTTCCCTTTCCTTTCCTTTCCTTTCCTTTCCTTTCCTTTCCTTTCCTTTCCTTTCCTTTCCTTTCCTTTCCTTTCCTTTCCTTTCCTTTCCTTTCCTTTCCTTTCCTTTCCTTTCCTTTCCTTTCCTTTCCTTTCCTTTCCTTTCCTTTCCTTTCCTTTCCTTTCCTTTCCTTTCCTTTCCTTTCCTTTCCTTTCCTTTCCTTTCCTTTCCTTTCCTTTCCTTTCCTTTCCTTTCCTTTCCTTTCCTTTCCTTTCCTTTCCTTTCCTTTCCTTTCCTTTCCTTTCCTTTCCTTTCCTTTCCTTTCCTTTCCTTTCCTTTCCTTTCCTTTCCTTTCCTTTCCTTTCCTTTCCTTTCCTTTCCTTTCCTTTCCTTTCCTTTCCTTTCCTTTCCTTTCCTTTCCTTTCCTTTCCTTTCCTTTCCTTTCCTTTCCTTTCCTTTCCTTTCCTTTCCTTTCCTTTCCTTTCCTTTCCTTTCCTTTCCTTTCCTTTCCTTTCCTTTCCTTTCCTTTCCTTTCCTTTCCTTTCCTTTCCTTTCCTTTCCTTTCCTTTCCTTTCCCTCTTTCCTTTCCTCTTTCCGTTCCTTTCATTTTCTTACAGTCTATGACCCAATGATAGACTACTGGACTTTCCCTTGGCCTAGTTGCATACTGCCTTTGTGATACTATATGAACTCATACAATTTCCACTGTTCTACTGTTCATCTGGATGCCATTGAGAAAGAAAATAAACAGCACCCACCCTGCTACTGGCAGGACTTGGATGTTTAAGGGATTACACATGATCTAACAGCAATGACTGTTAGATCATCTGTCTCAGACACTGTCATCTCCTGCCTCAGGACACCCACATAGGATACTAGGCTAACTGCCTTGTTGATATCCTTTTGGTCTACATCCAGGATGTCTCCTCCTCTGGACTGGGAAAGCATTTCTCATGTTGCATGCACAACTGTAGAACTGCCACTGGCACTTGCTGGTGGCTAAAAACAGTGGCTAACCAAAGCCACAGAACTGAGAATCTCTTGACCTCCAGGTATGTACCTGCTTAGGGACACAGGAGGTGGGAGGTTTGTGAAGCTGGGGGCTTGAATCACCTTAGCTGGCATAGAAACTGAGCAGTTACCTGTCAATCTGTGACTGGTGGACAGCCCTTCAAGTGAGCACCACTGCCTGTATGAACTAGATGTTGGCAGACGACACATCTAGCGCACACGGAGGCACCTACATCTACATGTCCAAGTCTTGAATTCACTCTTTGCTCCTAGAAGCTGATAATCTGAAACGTCATTTGGGCTCCACTGACAAGTCACCTAAACGGGTGGTGCTGAACATCATTTTTGACACTCTGGGGAGCCCTGCTGGGGCTCAGCCAGTTGTTGCTCTAGAAGGGTGGAGGTAATCTATGCTCTAGACATGATGAAACTCTGTGGTGTTCAAGGTCAGGCTGGATGGGGCTTTGAGCAACTTGGTCTAGTGAAAGGTGTCCCTGTCCATGGGGGTTGGAAACAGATGATCTTTAAGGTCCTTTCCAACACAAACCATTCTATGATTCTATGATCTCAAATGGCATCAGCAACCGAGTTCATGGTAGATCTCTGCTGGCTATAATGGGAGCTAGGAACCAAGTTCACAGGCAGAGACCTAAATTTAGGTGTCTTAATCAAGAACAAAATCACACCCAAAGCGTTTTCCACTGAGGATTGGTTAAAGACCTTCTGGGCTGTCCCCATCTTTGTCATATTGGGAAGTAGGAGATCAGACACATGCAAAGCTGTAATGCTGAACATCATCATCACTTTACTATTACAGTAACTAAACACATCCCTATTATCTTGAAAATGAGCCCAGGATGACTTTGAAATTACTTTTTGAGTGCATTTCTTTGATAAAAATGTGTATCTGGGAACAGCAGCTTTTTAAAGGAAAAGAAAAGACATCCAACTGAAACAATAAACCCAACAAATCCAGGCACACCAGCGTAAAGATAGCTTGTGTTCTCTGCTCTGAATATGAAGGGGGTGGAAGCAAACAGATTATATGCAGTTAAAGAGGCAGTGTGTTCCTGACTTTGAAATTACCATTTCTGTTTCATTTTAGAACTCATTTTAATGAACTGGCAAGGAAAAGGAACAGAAAATGCTGCAATGGCATGTGGTATTCTCTAAAATAATGCTGCTGCTTTTAGCAAGGTATCTATAAAACCGGTTTTAGGGGAGGAAGCAGGGAACTCACAGTAATTTCAATATTTGCTGCTAGATGTGAGTGACAAATATGCTGGGTTTGTTTTTCCTCACAGCCTTTTTTTAATCAGATGTCCTTAGGTGACATTTCACTTTATCTACTAACAACCCATTGGAGAGAAGAGAATGACCTTCATGATTTGTTCGCTGCTGCACAGAGCTCAAGAGAACAGCACATTACAGAGATCTCCAAATAGCCTCTTGCATTTTGCCAGCACCTCTTGAGGATTCGAAATACCATAGCCAGATAGCATCATCTGTTGTTTTTAAATACTGCCTTCCAGTGTGAGACTGAAAACTTTAATTTCCCATCAAGGATCCAAGATGTGAAATAAGTGAACATGTTTCCAAGTTTCTTTATATCCTTGTGCTGTTATACACAGATAGGTGTTTCTCTTGCCACCATATGGCTTACAACACAGAAAGCCACTTCTTTAAACGGCTTGAAAGTTATGATTTCTCTGAAATAAACTCCTTCCCATTTACCCTCTCCCTTTCTGTTAACAAAACCACCCTTTGGAAATCAGCCCCTTCCCTTCATTTCACCTGGCCACCACCTGAAGAGAGTGAAGGTTGGACTTGGTGATCTTAAAGATATCTTCCAACCTAGTTGATTCTATGACTCTGTGATGAGTCCCCATTCAGACGGCAATCAACCACAGCAGCCTATCATGCACCCATCCATCAGCATGGCTGTACTTCATGCTAAGGGGCAATAGGCCTGCTTAGGAACCTGCCAACCACAAAGTGGGACAATGGAGGTGGGCAACTGGCCAGAAAGGCCAGTGCTGTAGATGCAGTTTGATTAGCAATGAGTGAAACACTCCTGGGCTTAGAGGACAGGTCTCTCCTCCACCCCTCCAGTGTACACAGCTGCAAGGGGATAATGAGGTTGAGCTCATCAAGCAGGTTTCCATCTGTGGGGAAATAAGAGGATTTGCCTTCTTTTCTTGCTCATTTATTTTCATTAAGCTTCAAGAGTTTAATGTCTTTGAGACTTCAACTCCCATCCCTGCATTAGATCCAGTAAAAACTGGCCACTACTTCTGCAGAACATAACTAGGGCCTGATGGACCGAGGTGCAGACACTGTGATGGCCCAAGCCCAGGACAAAGCACCCTCAGCATCAGGATGCCCTCCCTGAATGATGAACACTGGCAGAGCCAATCGCTCAAACACAGTGTCCTTGGGAGAAGCTGTGCCAGAAAGCACAGCCCTGCAGCTCAGTCCCTGGCTGAGCATCCCAGCACTTCAAAATGCTGTTCCATAAGGGATACTAAAAGCTGCTCCTCTAGCACAGCTTGGAATGAGCACTGCAGAAAACAGGAGCCTTCCTGGAGGCACAGTGCTCATGGGATGGAGAGAAGGGTAGTTAATAGTACGATGCAGTTAACAATATAATCTCAGACTCCGAAACACTCCTCCCTGCAAATAGAGTTGTTCTGGCTCAAGCAATTACCTGACAGTTCAAGAAGACAAAAGAGAAGGGGGAAAAAAAAAGAGGGAAAAAGAAGAAGAGAAATTGGATTCAGGTACATCAGCTCCACAATATGCCAGAGGTCACCCAGAGTCCCCTGGTGCCAATAACACTGAACTTGTTCAACAAACAATTTAGTGACAGCCTCATGGTCACAGAGAAGAGGGCAGGGGGAAAGTGCTGCACAACGGAGTATTGGATTTTAAATGTCACTGCAGAGCTGCAGGGGGTTAGTGCAAGGTTTATGACACGCTGCCTCTTTCTGAGCTGGTGGATGCTCAAAGTCAGAATTATCTCTCCCATCTTCCAGCCCTGGAAGGCAAGCACCAACAATGTTTTGGAAGGAGATGCTAGGGCCCTCTGGCTATGCACTCTGAAGAGAAACACAGCAGCCATTTATGTGAAGTTAGTTGCTTTGCTGTCGTGGTCCTGTCATTCATTCCTCTCTGATGAAAGAACTGACTCAATCTGTTGGGCCACAGCTTTGATCAGCGAAGCCAGTGGAGTAGTTCAAATTTAGTATGGTCTATCTGGGTATATGACCCAGAGAAACCAGGTATTGGAAGATATGGAGATGAGAAAGCTGTGGTACATCATCCAGTGAATATCCCTGATTGCAAGCAGGATGGGCATTGTCCAGTGCCTTGTCCAGGCTACTTTTAAATGACAAAAGATCTGGAGCTTACTCCATATGCTCTAAAAGATCATTTCACAGTTTGCTTAGTCTAAAAATAATGTTTAATAAAATATCGTTAATATTTATAAAAATATTATTAATATTATCAAAAATATTTCCTGTGCTTCCATTTACCTTTGTTTAATTCTGTCATTTGCTATGTGAAATTTTCCAAACTTGCTATTTTCTTTCACATGCTTTGTCAATAAATACAAAGAGAACCAGCAGAAAGGAGGTCTGGATTGTGCCACATGTACATGGGAGCATGTATATATAGCTGGAAGGGTTGGGACTGAACAGAACTTCCTGTGAAACATCAGTGTTGGTTGCACACACAGGCTCAGGATAAAACAGATCAAGTTTTCAGGTATCATCTTGTGAATGGAATTATTGTATGCAAATATATGCTACACTATGCTGGGTGTGACAGAAAGGAAGAGGATCCTCCTCTATCACATTTGAGAGCCACTTGCTATCACAGCATGATCCTGCAAGTGTAGACTACAATAAAAATGCTCATGTTTTGTTGCTGTCATAGCACAGGCGAAGGATACAAAACAGCCTGCAATGGTTAAATTCCACTTTCAACACTTGACTGTAAAAGCGACTCATCTGGAAGCCCCATGGCTGCATACAGCCCTCTTTTAGCAAGCAGGTCCCTGCATGGTCCTCACTGCAGCTTTTTGTTTTAAAAACCTGAAAGGGACATGGAGATTTCCTTTCTTTCTCATTGCTCATTCAGGCAGATTCATCTAAAATGGGTGGATGGAAGAGGGGGGGATCCTTGGTTTTATTTCCAGCTCAGCTGCCTGCACGAGCAAGTGTCAGTCTTCATCTCAAGCTGTCAAGTTACTTGGCTATTCAATAACTCTAATAATAATAATAATAATAATAAACTAATGATAGAATAATGATATAATAATAATGATAACACCAATAATAACAATTTCTATTGCAGCTCTGTGAGAGTTATTATCTACTGCACATAACGATTCAGAGACAATCTTTTGTGCGGTCCCTGAACGAGCTTTCCCTGTTTGCTTTCTCCTGTACAGCTCTGCCTGGGGAGCCTGTGCCACATCAGAGAGGAGGAAAAATCCTCAGGCTATTTCTCATTACAGAAATAATATCTATTAGCATTTTATTGTTTAATCCAAGGAAGCGAGAAACAAAAGAGGAGTCTCTGAGCTCCAAAACACAACCGAATTCTTGCGGCGTAATGGTTTTCAAGCATCAACTCAGCCATTGCGGCAAAAGGCACAGTTCTTTTTGTCCCCCTCTATTATAAAGTGATAAGACTTAATATAAATCTCTTGTTGAAGTTGAAGCTGGTGCATTCTAGCTTGTCCTCACCATAGCTATGAGGCTGAGCACCAAGGATGGGCTGACACACGACTATTCTATTAATGCACAGTATCTTGTTCATACCTCTGAGTGGTACCTTTTGTGGTTCGGGAAATATGACACAGTATTTTACCCTCCTGGTTTAATCCATGTTCAGGACCTCAAGTATCTGTTGCAGGACAGTGAGATTTCAGTGAACTCATAGATGAAGAGGTTGAGAGGGTAGCTGGAATCAATTCCACTTCCTACTGTTAACATTTTATTGTGTAATAGGTTAAATGTTATATCCTGGTCTCCCCAAGCATGTTGGTGCCTCGCTGCTCTCGTGATGTTTGAATACACAGCAAGCAGGAATTCAGCCCAAAGAAGATCCAGACTAAACAGATGAGAGCAACCCCAGTACAAAACCAGGCTAGGAGACAAAAGAGTATCCTGAGCAGTAAATTACTTTTGGAAGGTCATACAACCGATAAGCATAGGGCTGGGAGTAACCCAGGGCTCTCAGATCCTGACCCAGTGTGCAAACCTTTAACAGTGCTGCCTCCATCTTTCAGCTGAATAATTCCCAACAGGAAGAGAACGGGAAATGATTGGGCTGTAAAAGCTTTTATTCCTGCCAATTTCATCACTGAATTTTGTGCAAGCCTCTACCAAAATGGCTTGTGATGCAGGCCTGTTCTTAAAAGTAGGACACGATGACTTGGGATTAAACCCCATCAGGTAAAATGAAAGTTAACTCTCATCTAAAACTTCCTTCTGGTGAGACCCACTGCAATGCAGAACAGTTTCCTAGGAAAGTAGTGGGACTTCTTAAGACATTTTAAACCAGACTGAAAAAATTCCTAGCAAAAAAAAAAAAAAATCCATAGAAATGGATTCTGTATCAAGATTTGCTTTTTTAAACTTCCAAGCATCCTTGGTGCAAAGGCATTTGAACTGAGCCTGCAATATGTGATAACAGGGCCTCTTGTGGGAGAAAGAAACAGGAACACACCATTTCATTGAGCAATCACCAGAAAATATCACAGGAAAAAGCACCATGGCAGTAAGGACCATAAAATGTGATTATTTAGTCAGATTTCATTGCTGTAATGGGGACTGAGTCGCTCTTAATCTCCCAGTTTATCTGGGAGAACATGCTGATAGAGGGTTTTTAATGAAGAATGAGACTGGATAGTTTGCTAAGGGGGTGAAATACAGTATGGAGTTGCATGGATCACCTTGCTATTGTCCCATTCCTGGGTTTTCATCTGGGTGTGGATTAGCTCATAGGACGGCTCCATCGCATCCATGTCTGGCTTGGGGTAGCCGGGGATGACGTTGTGCAGCTGGAACCCGAAGGTGAGCAGCCAACTGTTGACATCTGGAAGGGAAGAGAAATAAATAGATTATCTGATCTCTCCAGCACGATTGCCCAGGAGAAGGCACAGAGGAGGATCCTGTGGTGCCCGGCACTGTAGTAGTCTGGCCAAAATGATGAGCATCTACTTTGTGTGAAGAACGCAGATCTTAATGGTCCTTGAAAGGACCATTGTGTCAAAGCTGAGCTTTCCACCCCCAACCACAGTCCAATTCTGCATTTCCAGCTCTGAAACAGAACTGTTGGCAGTGACCACATGACCAAAATCCAAGTCAGTGCCACATCTACCCTTCATCATCAGGAACCTGGCACTGCTCTAGGGTACGCAGGCGAAGCACAGGAACAACAACACACTCATGGAGGCTGAGATGCTCCAGCTGAATGGGAAGTGTTGTTCAGTCCTACAGTAATCTCAGCCACAATAGTTCTCTTCCTGAGGACTCTCAAAGGGCCTGCAGGCTGAAGACTAAATATAGAGATATGTGAGCCAGAACACCAGGACATCCAGAAGAAACATCACAGTCATTTAGCAGTCGTTCATGGACATTTCCTCTGCTTTTTCCATGGCATTTCCACCTCAGTACTGAATTTCTTGGCATTTTTAATAAGTAAGTGTAGTTTGAATATTAAAGCAATGTACAGTCACATGCCATCTTTTATACTGACATTTAAAATTAGCCTCCACACTACCTGCAAGGTACATTATAGTGAAAATCAGTGTATATGCCCCATCCCTGGCAGTGTTCAAGGCCAGGTTGGACACAGGGGCTTGGAGCAACCTGCTCTAGTGGAAGGTGTCCCTGCCCCTGCCAGGGGGTTGGAACTGAATGAGCTTTAAGGTCCCTTCCAACCCAAACCAGTAAAAGTTTAACTAATATCTGCTCCATGGGGTCTTAAGCATTTGGATGTAACTAGGATTATGTTGGTGATCACTCTGCTTGAAGCTGGACAAGCAAGAGGCTTGATTTTCATTTTGCTAAACTCAATAAACATTGTTGAAACAAGGTGAAAAAGGGATCAATTTAAATAACAAAATACGCATCTTTGAGTATTTCTTCTCTATTCCCTATGAGCCTAAATGAGTGTTTTGAAGAGCTGGTCAAGAAAGAACATTATGGATGCGAGTGGCAAATAAGGCACTTCCAGATGACTGGAGAACCAGGAGCCAAACAAACACATTATCTGTTGCTTGTTTTCTTACAGGCCAAAACGTTGCCATTGGGCAGATGTCCAAGAAGCCTTTGTGACAATCCATGAGGAGAAGGAGGATTTCTGTAATAAAAACACTTCTGTTCACTAAATGTACAGATTGTTTTTGGAGTGTCTTTGAAACAGAGAGGTTGGGGGGGAGGGAAAGAAATTAAAAGGCTCATTTGATTATTTTTCCTTGCTTACTGCTAAGCCAGCCTGCTTCCAAATCCTTCTCATCTGAAATAGAATCATAGAATCACAGAATGGTTTGGGTTGGAAAGGACCTTAAGATCATCCAGTTCCAACCCCCTGCCATGGGCAGGGATGCCTCACACTAGACCATGTCACCCCAGGCTCTGTCCAACCTGGCCTTGAACACTGCCAAGCATGGAGCATTTACCAGTTCTTTGGGCAACCTGTGGCAGTGCCGCACCACACTCACAGTAAAGAACTTCTTCCTTAAATGAAGACCTTTGATGTACATATTGTAGATATGGTGGTCAGGAGAACAAAGTAAACCAGTGAAGGCTGGCATTGGTGCAGCAACCATATCCCAAGCACTTCACAACTGTTAAAAGGAACACAGAGCAGGGATGCTGAACAGCCAAAACCCATGTAACGTGTCTGAAAGATTCAAGAGAGGCTTTTTTTGTGATACTAAACTGACTTCCAAAACATTTGCAAACAAGAGTTTGTTCTTTTTGGGAAGAGGTGTTGGACTATCCAGAACACACACAGAAAAAGAAGCAACCCCAAAACATGGGAGGAAGGTGTGGAGCTGAGAAACCAGAGGGAAAATTATTAATTTGCCAAGAGGCAGTGACAAGTTTTTTGACAGAAAAGTGCATTTCACATCACAGAGGGTTTTGTTTTTTTTCAGCTACAGTAACCCTGCCAACACATTTCACAGTAAATTCATTTGAGGGCAAAGAAAAAGAGTGCTTAATGCAGACACATGTAATGGAAATGTCAGTTCAATCCATCAGGATTGCTGAAGCTGGCAGCAAAGCTCTGTGCCATGAAGTGCACAATCACTAAAATACTCATGTTTAACAATGGGCCTCTCAAAACATAAATACCTGCTTCTCTGCTCTCCCCTCTACATGTGCCTCCAATTTGTACCTATGAGCTCAGAAACCTCATCACTGGAGACCAAAGCATGTGTTGTTCACCTTTGTCCTGGGCGCCAAGCTCCCATAAGGACCAGGATGGGGATAGAAGGAGAAAAAGTGGTTCCCTGTGCCCAAATCTGGGCAGATTTGGTTGTGATGACAAGGACACTTTCATTGTGGGTCCTGCCCATGAGGTGTCTGAAAGCTTTAGCAAGAAGAAATGACAGAGCAGCAGCTTTGCATTATAGCACTCATCCCATCTGGTTACCTGTTTCTATCATGCACTGGGAGAGGACTTAAAAAATGTGTAGTCTTGAAAGACTAAAAATAGAACTTTTAAGACCATGGAAAAAGTTATTAAGTGCATATAAAATACTAAAGTATTGGATTTAAACATCTCCATTTTATCATCAGAGCTGGATGGGAAGCTGTTCACCTGCACCAAGACAGGGCTGTCTTACCTTGAGCAGGAAAACAAAACTCTGTTAATATGTCCTGAAGGAACTGTTAAAAACTAGGTCTGGTGTCCTCAACATAATAAGGACATGGAGCTGTTGGAGCAAGTCCAGAGGAGGCCACGAGGATGATCAGGGACTGCAGCACCTCCCGTATGGAGACAGGCTGAGAACATTGGGGCTGTTGAGCCTGGAGAAGAGAAGCTGTGTGGAGACCTCAGAGCAGCTTCAGTGTCTGAAGGGGGCTACAAGGATGCTGCAGAGGGACTCTTCATCAGGGACTGGAGTGATAGGACAAGGGGTGATGGGTTCAAACTGAAACAGGGGAAGTTCAGGTTAGACATAAGGAAGTTCTTTACTGTGAGGGTGCTGAGGCACTGGAAGAAGTTGCCCAAAAAAGTGGTGAATGCTCCATCCCTGGCAGTGTTCAAGGCCAGGCTGGACAGAGCCTTGGGTCACAAGGTCTAGTGTGAGGAGTCTCTGCCCATGGCAGGGGTTTGGAACTAGATGATCTTAATGTCCTTTCCAACCCAAACCATTCTGTGATTCTGTGATTTTATGATAGATCAGTTTAAGGCAACAACTGCAAATACAAATCTTTCATTTTGGCTTTGACTTCTTAATTTTTCCTTTCCACTTTTCAATCATTAGTTTACACTTAACTTGCAAAGGTTGAAAAACAAGAAGGAAGTTTTCTTCTAGGCTAATTTGGAATTTGTCATTGAGGCAATTTTGAGAGCTGTTTACAACATTTCTGCTGAGAAATCTCTCAAGCTCAACCCTCTCCCATTAACAAATTCAGTTTTGACAAATGAGCATTTTCTGATAGAAGTTATCTCAAAGCATTCCCTGCCAGCCTTAATTATCAGAGAGTGAGGCCATCACACAGGATCTTAGTCTGCATCTTTTGGCATATTTCACTTCCCTCATGGCATCAACTTCTCAGCTCTGGAAAAAACAGCTTTTCATTAAAAAAACCCCAAGACAATCTAATCCTTGTGATTATTGCAGAAGAACCTGGAAGCACAAATCCTAATGGCTGGAAAACCAAGTGGAATAGAACAACCCAGGATTTATTTTCTGTAACTTTTTTTTATTATTAAGCCAATCTCATAACTTAGGGGAACACAAATACTGTTGCATGTGGGAAAGTTGTGACAGATGTAGCCTGGGCAGCATCAAAAGCAGTGAGACCAGCAGGTCGAAGGAGGTGATCCTGCCCCTCTGCTCTGGTGAGACCCCACTTGCAGCACTGGGTGCAGTTCTGGTGTCCTCAGCGTAAGAAGGACATGGAGCTGTTGGAGCAAGTCCAGAGGAGGCCATGAGGATGATCAGGGGCTGGAGCAGCTCCCATATGGAGACAGGCTGAGAAAGTTGGGGCTGTTGAGCCTGGAGAAGAGAAGCTGCATGGAGACCTCAGAGCAGCTTCCAGTGTCTGAAGGGGGCTACAAGGATGCTGGAGAGGGACCTTCATCAGGGACTGGAGTGACAGGACAAGGGGTGATGGGTTCAAACTGAAACAGGGGAAGTTCAGGTTAGATATAAGGAAAAAGCTCTTTACTGTGAGGGTGCTGAGGCCCTGGCATAGGCAGCATATTCAAAGAAGAGCAACATATCTCATGAAGGGTCTGGAGCACAAGTCCTGTGAAGAGTGGCTGAGGGAACTGGGTTATTTAACCTGGAGAAAAGGAGGCTTAGGGGAGACTTTATCACTCTCTGCAACTACCTGAAAGGAGGTTATAGTGAGGTGGGGGTTGGTCTCTTCTCCCAGGTAACGGGCAGCAAGGAAAAAGGAAATGGCCTCAAGCTGCAGCAGGGGACGTTTAGACTGGAGATCAGAAAGAGCTGTCAAGCATAGGAACAGGCTGCTCAGGGAAGGGTTGGAGTCACCATGCCTGGAGGTACTCTAAAGACATGTAGATGTGGCACTGAGGGACGCGGTTTAGTGGTGGCCTTGGCAGTGTTGGGTTAATGGTGGGACTCAATGATTTTAAAGGTCTTTTCCAACCTAAATGATACTAATATTCTAGGATGCTGTGAATACAAGAAGGACATTCAAACTACAGAATAATTTCTGTATAAAACCCCCATACACAAAGCTCATGTTATTGCCATTTAACAAAGTCCTGAGGAAGCAGTTCACAAGTTACGTCAAGCTGTGGGTTAGGTATAGCCTAAAACCTGGCTTTTGAGTCTAACCCACCTGCATTTATTGACTTTTAGTAGAAACTGCTAAAGCTGTGGGGCAGATTAACTTTGATTAACTACATGGTTAGCGTAGGCTGATTGTAATAAAAGGTTTAAGTCGCTGTTGTCATCCTGCTAAAACAAATCTGCATGTCATTTGTTTAGTTACAAATAAATCTCTAGACAAAACTGTGCAAACAGAGCTGCCCCTCTACAAAGAGAAAGGTTATCAGCACATTAATTGGTAGCTAAACTTGGGATATCTGAGGGAATGAAAATCTGGAAGCAAAATAAAGAGAACACCAAATAGAAGAAAAGGAAACAAGTTCGGGAATTACCATCTCCATCTATGTTAATGAATTAAACACGCTCTGGATGTAGGAGTCAACTGGCAAAGAAAAGCTTATGTCCATTATATTAAACATTGGAAAACCTCATGGTGACCAGGATATGAAGAGAAAAGAAACCTGTTGTGCTGGGTTTGGCCAGGATAGAGTTAATTTTCTTCATAGTAGCTGGTATGGAGCTATGTTTTGGGTTTGTGCTGGAACAGTGTTGATCACACAGGGATGTTTTCACTGTTGCCGAGCAGTTCTTACACAGAGTCAAGGCCTTTTTGCTCCTCACACCACCCCACCAGCGAGTGGGCTGGGGTGGGCACAAGGAGTTGCTTATGTGGCTTTTGCTTTACTTATTAAACTGCCTTTATCCCAACCCATGAGTTTTCTCACTTTTACTCTTTCAATTCTCTCCCTCATGCCCCTGAGGGGGTGAGAAGGCAGCAGTATAGGGCTTAGCTGCTGGCTGGGGTTAAATCATGGCAAGCTTTTGAATATGTTAATGCATTTAAATGTCTTACCTGTCATGTAGCATTTGATATCCTGAGAGTTGCTAATGGGATTGTTGTTTTTGAACATATACAGGTTGAAAGGCATTATGTTATTGCTACTCAGATGTTTCCACATATCATGGTCTGGACTTGTCCACCGACCCGCTAGCACATCATAGTCTCTCCGTCCCATGTGGATAAGCTTTGTGAGGGGGTCATACAGTCCTCCATGGTAGCCAATGATGATCTGGAAGTTGGGATTGGTGTCCATATAGATCTCCCCATATGCTGTGTACAGTATCTGCTTAATCATTAAGCCAGTCCCGCTGAAGACAGCCAAAGGAGTGCCAATGTTATCACAAGCTATGTAGAACTCATCACCGCTGCTGAGCTCCATTGCAAAGAGGTGGCCTTGGAGGTCATAGTAGAGGGAGGTGATCTCGGAGCTCGAGTGGTTGTATAAGTGGGTGACCTTGGTTGGGTTGGTCAGGTCTGCATAAAAGAACTGCAGGTGATGGCCATGGCTGGTTTTGCTAGACACTCTCCTTCCCAGGCCATCATAGCGATACTTCACACTCCATCCACTAGCTTTATTGTAGGCTTTGATGAGCAGGCCAGCTGAATTGTACTCAAAAATATCATTGCCCCTTTGCTTCAGGAAGCCATCCTCATCCATTTTGTACTGCACATCCCCCAGTCTAGTAATCCTATCCCTGAGGTCGTACCTGAGCGGTGTAAGCCGGGCACTATTCCCTGGACTCAACAAGTGGAGGTTTCCATTTAGGTCATAGCTGTAACGCCAGAGGGGTTTGTCATTGATAGACACTGTCTGCAACTGGCCATCAGCATCATATTCGTATGAGTACCTAGTTGTGTTGGCATAAGGGCCAACCTTCAGCTCTTTCTTAACCACTCTCCCCATGTTGTCATACTGCACAGTCATCCAGTACATGAGAGACCGGAATATCTCATACTGGACCTCCTTCATCCTGCCATAGGCATCAAAGTGTTTAGTGTGAGTCATGACAGCAGTGGTGATAATCTGGTTGATATCGTAGTAGATGACACCAAATTTACCAAATTGCTCAGTTTTGCCTGACACATCATCATACCTGTAGAGGTCAATGGGTAAAGGTGTCTCATTGATGACTGCTTGCATGCTGGTCACCCGAAAGCTGTTGTCATAGTTGTAGTCAAAGCGTGCATTCACCATGCCTTCCTCAGTGAAGCGGAAGATCTGCCTGTCAATGAGGGGCCCGATCTGCCTGTATCTGATTGTACAGGTGAACCCTTCGTTCTGCAGGTTTATGGTCTTCAGCATGCCAGCAGTTTCATCATAAGTGAAACTGATCTTTGTGGTGTCGTAGAGCATCTCAGCTAACTTGGACAACTTGCCATACTTGTAGATGACCCGTCTGCCTGTGCCCAAGTACAGAGTGTGGAGAAGCTGCTCATCCTCTGTGAAATCCTGAATGACCGAGGCATTGCCTTCTGGTGGCCTGTAGATGTTCCTGTAGTAACCAATGGAACGAATGGTTTCTAAAGTCTGCCGAGCAACGTTGGGCATGGTCACCGATGACAACCGGTCGTTCTTATCAAACTCAAAGATGTACTGTCTCTGGCTGTGAAGGAGCAGCACCATGGACTGGATGGGAAGAAGAAAAACATAGGTTATAATCCTGGTTTTCAGGCAAAATGCTACTAAACTCTCACAAAACATGCAAAATTCTCCAATCCAACGAGCAGGGTGAGTGAGATACACTGCACTCACAGGGTTAAATGGTGAGAGGTGTGCACAGCACATCGAGTGTCCCCAGGTAGGAGTGGGTCATAGGAAGAATGCACTGAGGAAGGTTTAAGTTCAGAATGCTCAGTTGTTTCGATCAATACCCTGTAGCTGGCTGTCTCTACCCAAATTCCTCATGCCAACAGCTTTTACACACTAAATAAATACAACTGGTAGAGCTACTTAAACAATGCCTGAAAAAGTATCCCCTGACACCTTCCAATGCCTAATTAATTCACTGTGTCTCCATATCTTCTATTACTCTCTTACTCCAAACTTCTGCCTGCCTGCTTATTTGTTCTGGGGTTTTTTTTTGCATATAACAAACAATCCACGTGGATTGTACAATAAAAGGAGCAAGTCAATACTTTTTGCTTTTTAAAAGTTATGTTACTGTAGTTTCCTTAAACTGTTGTAGGCATAGGCTTTATGCAAAACTCAGGAATAGAACATTCCAGCCCCAGGTATGCTGCATATGGATCTGTAGAACACTGGGCAGTTTAATGATGAATGGTAATACCTGGAAGGATTTAAGTCCCATGCCAACCTACAGAGTGCAGACTACAGAAAATGCTGCAGTGTGGTACAACAATCTGCTTGAATTCATGCCTCACACTTAATTATGTGTATTAATGTATTAATTACATG